GCCGTTAACTTCCCTTGTGAATTTGTTAGGTTCTGTGAATTTAATGAGGAGGGAATGGACTTATATAGAAACATATGAAAGAAATGTGATTTATAATGTTCTTTTCTGAAATTTAAAAAATTTTTTTTTTAATTTGAGAAATATCTATTTTAAATTGATGTTCCAACTTTCTATGTTGGATTATATTCTATAATTTCAGATGCCTGAGAGCAAACATTTCCTGGTTAACAACATAATTTTACAAATCTTTGCAAATATTATATAATACACCAGTTGTCACATGTTTTAAATCAGTTATTACAGTTGCCTGTATTATTTTACTTTTATTTCATGTTTTTAGCTGTTTTCATTTATATCTTCTATCTCTGTCCTTTGGCTATAATAAGGACTCATTCATTCACCTGTTTTATTTATGTTTTTAATATTTGAAATTTTGCGGCCACTTATAATATTTTCCTGATACAAGAAGCTTTTTAAAGGACACTGGAAGGATTTTATAAACTTCATAAATAGTTTGGAAGAAGCACTTTAGATTTTGGCTAAACTAATATCTTTCTGCTAGCAATATCTTCTGTTTAGTGAGTTGAACCTTTAAAGAAGCACATCATCAATTGAACTCTTAAAAGCAGATGTATCTTTTTCCAATTCTTATAAAAACCTGAAAAGAAACGTAACAGTAACACTTCTGTTCAGATTTTTATAAGAACTGGAATGATGTGCTTCTCTAAAGGTTCAGTTCATTAAACCAGCAACATCCTTTTTTTCAAAAGTCTAAAAGTCAGGCTTTTTAAAAAGAATAGTTTTCTTGATTTACAGTATACTGGTTTTATTTGACTGTTAGCTCTTTTGAACGCCATATAGGCAGAAAGATGTAAAGTGAAAATCATAATAGTTTGCATTTAAAAAATAACTGATTTTTGTGATTGGTAAGAAACATTCTATCATAATGGTATACATATAACATGAAAAAAATACACATTGACATTTCTTAAGAATTTGACATGTTCTGAGTCAAACCATGTGTTCACTTACTTCTTCTTCTTCTTCTTCAGATGGTATCTCAACAAGTTTGAAGACTATCCACGTTCCAGGAAAATTTTAATTCCATTTATATTCTGAATCAGAGGTGGGCTTCAAAATTTTCAGCAATGGGTTCTCTCCTCGGTTGCTGGGTGGGCATGGCTATGGTGGGTGTGGCCTAGTTGGCCTCCTGCACCACAGCCGGGGGGGGGGGCTTTTCACCTTCACCATGGTCCGAAGGCTTTCTTTGAGCCTCTGGGAGGGTGAAAACATCCTCCCCCAGGCCCCAGAGGCCTTCCTGGAGGCCCATTTTTTCCCCTTCCCAAGCCTCTGTGCAAACTTACCTCGCATCCAAAATGGGCCACATGGAGACTCCTGGGAGGGGTATGGTGGGGTGGCAGGGGCATGGTGTGGTAGGTGGGGCCATCCAGGGGTGGGATTTGGAGGTTCTCCGAACCGGCCATAATGTTAGCTACAGATTCTCCCGGACCAAGGCGAACCCATAGCAGCCCACTCCTATTCTGAATTCTCTGTCAGACTCTGTGCTTTGATTCTATATAATGCACTACAATTGTGGGGG